ACCAATGTCATAAAACAATATGTGTACTGACTGTTTAATGAGAAACTATTTGTTCTGTAAACCTTCATCTAAAGTACAATAAAAAGAAAAACAAGAGAGGAAGCAAATAACCCAAATAAGAAGTGAGATCCATGATATCACAACAGATCCAACTGAAATTAAAAGAATCATAACAGAATACTATGAAAAATTGTACTCCAACAAATTTGAAAACCTAGAGGAAATGGACAGATTTCTAGAAACGTAACTACCTGTCTAAACTAACACAAACCAAGGTAGAAAAACTAAATAAACCTATAACAAAAGAAGAGATTGAAGAGGTAATAAAAAAAAAAAAACTCTCCCTCAAAAAAAGCCCTGGCCCTGACGGCTTCACTGGAGAATTCTACCAAACTTTCAGAGAAGAGTTAACACCAGTACTACTAAAGGTATGTCAGAGTGTAGAAAAGGATGGACTACTCCCAAACTCATTCTATGAAGCTAGCATAACCCTGATATCAAAACCAGGTAAAGACACCACAAAAAAAGATAACTACAGACCAATTTCCCTCATGAACATAGACACGAAAATCCTCAACAATATTCTAGCCAGTAGTATTCAACAACACATGAAATATGGTGTTGATGAAGAATATTGAGTATACCGTGGACTTCCAGATGAAAGAACAAATCTGTCTTGGAAGAAGTATAGTCAGAATGCTCCTTAGAAGCAAGGATGGTGAGATTTCATCTCAGGTACTTTGGACATGTTATTAGGAGGGACCAGTCCCTGGAAAAGGACATTATGCTCGGTAAAGTAGATGGTCAGCGTAAAAGAGAAAGACCTTCAATGAGATGGATTGACAGAGTGGCTGCAACAATGGGCTCAAGCATAACAACAATTGTGAGGATGGCTCAGGACTGGGCAGTGTTTAGTTCTGTTGCACATGGGGTCGTTGTGAGTCGGAACCAAATGGATGGCACCTAACAACAACAATATATGAATAAATTAATTAGTGGTTCTCTTAGTTTCTTAGTGCTTGTATAACAGAAATACCACAAGTGGTTGGTTTTTACAAACAGAAATTTCTTTTCTCACAGCTTAGGAGGCTAGAAGTCTGAATTCAGGGCACTGGCTCTAGGTCAAGGCTTTCTCTCTCTGTTGGCTCTGGGAGGTCTTTGTCTGTTTTCATCTTCAGTTCCTCAGTTCCTTGGTGATCTTCATGTGGCATGCTGCTTTTATTTCTCAAAAGTCATTGGCTTAAGATACACTCTACACCAATATAGCCTCATTAACATAACAAAGAAAATCCCATTCCCAGAAGGGATTACCTCCACAGGTATAGGAGTTAGGATTTACAACACATGTTTTTTTGGGACATAATTCAATTCATAGCATTCTAATTCATGGCACCTCAAAATTCCTGTCCTTCCTGTGAACAAAACACACTGACCTCATTGCATCATCCCAAAAGTCTTGTTCCATTCCAGCATCAACTGTAAGTCCAGAATCTTATCTTCTGAATCATCTAAATCAAATATGGGTGGTCCTTTGGGTGTGTTCCATCCTGAAGCAAAATTCCTCTCCATCAGTGAAGCTGTGAAACCTAGAACACAAACTGTCTGCTTCCAAAGTACAATGGTGTAACTAACACAGGAAAGACATTTTCATTAAAAATGGGAAAAATTGAAGGGAAAGAAAGGTTCATGGGCTCCAAGCAAGTCCAAACTCTGAAAAGCAAATTTCTTTAGTCTCAAAGCTTGAAAATAATCCTCTGTTCTCTGGGACCATCTGGCCAATGGCCTTGCCCTCCAGACTCCAAGTGTTAGCCACAGTCTGTATTCTGGGTGGAGGCCCCTCAGCTCTGGTGTCAGCTGGCCTTCCAGGCCCATTGGTATGGCAACTCTGCTCCTGGGGCTTTGGGTGGTCCCATTCTCCTAGTCCATCTGAGTGGTGACCCCACCCCCTTGGCCCCAAGCTGCTCCATTCTCCAGGCTCTTGGTCATGGCAGCCCCAACCCCTCAGCTTTGGGTGGTGTCCCCATCCTCTTGGCCCACTTGAATGGCAGACCCACACTCCAGAACCAAACTGATGGAGATCTGACTCTTTGAAACCTAGGAGGTGGTTTTTCCACCCCTTGAAATGGAGGCGATGGTTCCACCCTTTGAAATGGAGTAGCCCTGCTCACCATGATCCCTCCAGCAGTTCTGCTGATCTCCAAACTATTCCCAGGATGGTGTTTTCTTTTTCTTGGAGTACAACAGATGTTTGCAACCAAGTCGCTCCATTGGCCCATTCCTACCTGTAGAATTCCAGGAGGCAGGAGCTTTCCTTAATTTTGTACGGTCTCTGTCCCTTTCTGTTGTGGTGGTTGAAGATCCAGCAGTCACAGTCTTAAGCTCTTGAACAAAAGATTGAGTAGCCATGCCCTTCGTGAAGGTTTTTCTAGAACACATTTCCTTAGTTTATACCACAGAATTTTCCAAGTCTTTAAGTTCTGGTTTTATTTTACACAGTTCATTTTAAAATCTATCTCTTTTCTCCCACATTTTAATCCAAGTGGCAAGGAGAAACCATGTGACCCCCTTAAGGTCTTGCTTAGAAATCTCCTCCCCCAAATACTTATGCTCATCACTTACAAGTTCTACCTTCCACCAAACATTTGAACATAATTCAGACAAGTTCTTTGCCACTGCATAAAAAGCATTACCCTTCTTCCATTGTCCATCATATGTTCATAATTTCCTTTGAAAGCTTTACCAGAAACAAATTTAATGTCCACAGTTCTGGCAACATTCTGTTCCTGGCAATGAGTGCCTTCATCACAGCTCTCGATTCTTTCTGAGCCCCCATCAGAATCACCCTTAAGATCTCTAATCCTATCAAGAGTCTCTTCAAGGCAAACTAGGGCCTTACAATGAAGCGCATCAAAACTTCTTCAGATTCTACCCATTATCCCATTTCAAAACCACTTCCACATTTTAGGTATCTGTTAGAGCAGCACCCTACTTCTGGTACCAAAATCTATCCTAGTTTCTTAGTGCTGTTATAACAGTAATACCATAAGTGGATAGCTTTAACAAACAGAAGTTTATTTTCTCACAGCTTAGGAGGCTAAAAGTCTGAATTCAGGGCACTGGCTCCAGGACAAGGCTTTCTCTCACTGTCTGCTCTGGGGGGGTGTCTGTCTATTTTCAGTTTCTGTTCCTCGGTTCCTTTGCGATCTTCATGTGGTATGGCATCTGTTTTCCCCCATCTGTGTTTCCTTGCTTCTGTGCCTTATCTGCTCCTTTTATATCTCAAAAGTAATTGGCTTAAGACACAGTCTACATTGATATGGCCTCGTTAACATAACAAAGAAAATCATATTCCCACATGGGATTACAGTCACAGGTATGTTGTTGTTGTTAGTTGCTGTAGAGTCATTTCCAACTCATGGTTACCCCATGTGTGCCGAGCAGAACTGTTCCATAGGGTTTTCAAGGCTGTGACCTTTCTGAAGCAGATCACCAGGCCTGTCTTTCAAGGCACCTCTGGATGGGTTTGAACCGCTGGCCTTTTGGCTAGTAGTTGAGTGCTAAACTGTTTGCACTACCCAGGGGCTCCTATCCACAGGTATAGCGGTTAGAGTTTACAACATATATTTTGGCGGGTCACACAATTCAATCATAGTAGTGGTCAGGATTTTTTTTTTGAAGTATGTAGTTATCCAATTTCTGAATAAAATCTGAATTGTCTGTATGTTTCTGTATTTTTTCCCATTTGTATATTAACTTTATAAAATGAATTCACTTTGATTTGTTGTGGGTTAAACAGCATGAAATCTTGGAATTTCATTTATATAATTTAAAAAAACTTAGTGGAAAAATCATTTTTGATGATGGTAGTGTGTCAAGGGTAATTGTAATTTTCTTCTACATGTTCTCATTTAATCAGATTTTCTACTTCTGATTACCTTTTCTTCTGTCGTATACTCTGCTATTAATTCCATCTGGTATATTTTTTATTTCCTACTGTTAATAGTTTCCAGAGTATTTTTCATTTCAGAAATTTCATTTTTCATTTCTAGAAGTTCTAGTTGCATCCTTTTTATATCTTCCATTTTTCCTCCTCATTATGGTCATGTTTTCCTCTACTTTGTAAAGATACAGAGTATGTAATAGCTTTTTAATATCCTTTTCAGCTAGTTTATCATATGTGTTATTTCTGGGTTTGTTTCTATTTAGAATCATTTTTTTCCCCTGATTATGGATTATATTTTTCTGCTTCTTTGCATGCTAGTAATTTTTTAATGGATGCTGGACTGTATGAGTCTTACATTGTTGGTTGCTTGATTTTATTTTATTCATTTAAATAATAAAGTTGTGTAATCCAGTCCTATAAACTTTTCAACATGTTCTGGTTTTTGTTTTATGGTTGTTTTCCTTTATTGCCATTATTGATGTGGATCTAAATTTTAATATGTTTTTATGGACATTTTAAAAGAGAAATTTGTGGTTGTATCCCAGAAGTCGTTACATACTCAACTATCTTACCTGAAGTCCAGAACTGTGGAAAAATATTGGCTGCTTGGATCTTTTCTGAGCATTAGGAGGAGGAAAATTTGAAGGTAATACACAGTGCGTACATAGAGATTTGGCTGTTAGGATCTTCATTCGTCTTCATTGTAGAGATAACCTAGATGCTATATTTAAAAGGAAGGAGCCAATATGGAATCAGGTAGAGTAAGGTGAAAGATTCTTATATGTGTCTGTCTTTTTTCCCTTGCAGGCATGTTCCCTGGAACCTCCATGAGCCAGTGAAAGGACAATTTTATTTCACTAGAAACTTGGATTTAAAGTACGTGTTAATGTTCAAGTTGCCTGATTCTGTGCCTTAGAGTCAGGGACTTGATTCTGTGAAGATCACATGCAGAGTAGGGGGCACCTTACATTCTGTTTTGAGAACCATCAGGAAGTGCTGATAAATTTTTTTCCCTGTATTGAAACCCTTTGTGCAGTGATTGTTATTTACAATGGAGCCTAGATCATAGTGTCCATAGGACATTCTTACAGCTGGTTTAGAAATTGTACTTCAAGAATTCTACGGTTTTAGTCTATCATAAGGAACTTGTTCTCTTATTTATAAGAGAAGATTTCTGGTCTATAGTTTACAGGATCTCTAAAACATGACAGAATATTAAATCCCTGAGCAGTGCAAACGGTTTGTGCTCAGCTGCTAACCGAAAGGTTGGCAGTTCGAATCCACCCAGCATTGCCACAGAAGAAGCGCCTGGCAGTCTGCTTCCATAAAGATTACAGCCAAGAAAACCCTATGGAGCTTAATTCTACTTTGTAACACTGTGGGGTCACCATGAGTCAAATCAACTCAATAGCAACAGGTTTATAGTTCAGACATTGTGTTTGGTGCTGGGGATGAGAAGATAATAACCTTTGTGCTATCAAGAATAAGCATTCTCTGTAGAGAGGGAGGCAGGTAACAACATATAAAGAATACACAATCCAAAGTAGGGAAGTGGATCAGGGAAGACAGCAATGAAGTTATAGCTGAGATAAATTTGAAAGTTGAGCAGGAATTTATTCAGGCAGAGTGTCCAGCATGGACAAAGTCAGAGATGTAAGAGAACATTTTATAATAATTAAGGTGATGTTAGCTGCTGTAACATAAAAGTCCCCAAATCTCAGTGGGTTAACACAATAAAAATTTATTTACATTCCAGTAAAATCTAAAATGAGTATTCCTGGTGAGCATATCTCCCTTCCAAACAATAATTGAGGAACTCAGGTCTTCTCTGTCTTTTGACTCCATCATGTTCAACACATAGTTTCCAAACCACCGTGGTTGGCTTCATCAAGCCTGCAAGTGGAAGAAAGAGCATGGAGAATCTCTTATGGGAATTAGAACACACTGATTCTTTTCACATTCTGTTGGCCAGGAGTCTGTCACATGGCCTCTGGCAAATGTAGTTGAGCTGTGTGCTCAGGAAGAAAAGAGAATGGGTTTGGTGATTAACTTTTTGCCGCACATTGTTTGTTTGTTTTATTTTATTTATTTTGTTGTTGCTGTTGTTGAGAATATACACAGCAAAACATACACCAACAGTTTCTGCATGTACAATTCAGTGACATGATTACATTCTTCGAGTTGTACAGCCATTCTCACCCTTCCTCTCTGAGTGGTTCCTACCCCATTAACATAAACTTGCTGCCCCCTAAGGTTCCTATCTAATCTTTCAATTTGCTGTTGTCAGTTTGACTCCACATAAATAGTTCTTAAAAGAGCATAATGCTCAAGGCAGACATTTTTTACTAGTTAAGCTGAACTATTTATTGGTTATAAGAAGACTTCAGGGGATGTTTTTGGTTTAAAGTTTAAAGATTATGTCAGGGCAGTAGTTTCAAGGGATCATCCAGCCTCCATGGTTCCAGAAAGTCTGGAGACCATGAGAATCTCAAATTCTGTTCTACATTTTCCCCCTTTTGATCATGATTCTGCTGTAGAATCTTTGATCAAAATATTCTCTAATGGGCTCTCTTCAATGTTTGCGATTGCGGCTGCTGCTGCATCTCACTCAGCTTCCACTTACCCTGATCCCCGGCCTAGCAGCACCTGCCCCTCCACAATCACACCACCTCTTTCCTCCCTCTATCCCTTCCTCCTCTCCCTTCTTCTTTCTTCCTTCCCCTCCTCACCTCCGCCACCCAAGACTACTGGCTAGGACATGCACTCAGGGCAGCAGCCAGGGGTTTCTTAACCACATAACCTCTCAGAACTGAACCAAAACAACATTGTTCCTGGAGCACCCTCTTTTTAAGAAAGCATAACTCCTACTGTAGAACTAAACGCACTGTGCATGAAACTTGGAAAAAACCAGTGTACAAGCCTGTTGAGTCTTACTCTCGAACGCAGCCCACCTATAACCATGATATGAGAGGAGGTGCTTATCGCTGAGGTAATTTTACCCATTTCCAGTTCCACCTTTACTTTATCAAGTTGAACTTTCTGTGGGAGGACAGCAAATGGAAAAGGAAGGACAAGACAGGCCATGAAACACAATTCTGCTGCTAAAGCACTGAGGATCCTGCAGAATGAGCCCCTTCCTGAGAGGATGGAGGTGAAAGGAAGAGAATCAGAGGAAGAAAATCTCAATAAATCTGAAATAAGTCAAGTGTTTGAGATTGCACTTAAATGGAATTGCCTGTGAATTTTGAGCCTTTGCCTCTAAAACAGGTTGCCCAGGAGAGTGGCCCACCCTACATGAAGAATTTTGTGACCAAGGTGTCAGTCAGGGACTGCATAGGGGAAGGTTAAAGGAAGAGCAAGAAGATTTCAAAGAAAAATGCTGCTATACCTGTTCTTGAAGATCTGAAAAAGTTGCTTCCCCCACTACAGTTGAGCGAGTGAAGCCCAGAATCAAAAAGAAAACAAAATCCATAGTCAGACTACACAAAGGCCCTGAATATGGCCAGAGGATGAATCCAACTAGCAGACTAGCCCAGATCCAGCAGGCAAAAAAGAAGGAGCTGGAGTACGTGCTCCTCCCCAAGTGAGGTCTCCTGCTTGCTGCGGGGAGTTTGTGATGCAGGTGAAGGTCGGAAACCACACCGCTGAAGGATAAGGCACCAATAAGAAGGTGGCCAAACACAATGCAGCCAAGAGCGTGCGGGAGATCCTTTGTTTCAAAGTTCCACAGGCTCAGGCCACCAAACCCGCACTCAAATCAGAGGAGAAGACACCAATAAAGAAACCAGGGGATGAATATGGCTGTGCAAATGAAAATGGAACTAGTAATAAGGAAGATGAGTTTAGGATGCCTTATCTTAGTCACTAGCAGCTGCCTGATGGAATTCTTCCTATAGTGTCCGAGGTTGCTCAGGCCATTGGTGTCAGTCAAGGACATCGCACCAAAGCTGTCACCAGGGCAGCTCTGAATCCTGCCAAGGCCACAGTGACTGCCATGATAGCCTGTGAGTTGTTGTACGGGGGCACCTCGCCCACAGCTGAAACCATTTTAAAGAATAACCTCTCTTCAGGCCATGTACCCCATGCATCTTTACAAGACCGTCTGAGCAGTTGAACTATCTTTCCAGAGTCCAGGGATTCCAGGTTGAATACAAAGACTTCCCCAAAAACAACAAGAATGAGTTTGTACCTCTAATCAGTTGCTCCTCTCAGCTGCCTCTAATCAGCCACACCGTCAGAAAGGATGTGGAGTCCTGCGTGATATGGTTGCACTGAACATATTAAAGTTGCTGTCAGAGTTGGACCAACAAAGTACAGAGATGCCAAGAACAAGATAGACCACTGTTTGTGTGTGGGAGATGCTGAATTTTTACTGGCCATGAACCATTATTAAATCCACCATCTATACTATATGTACTGAAAATACCGAAATTGCTTGAAAAATTGGAAGTTCTGATACCTCCAGTGGACTGAGAGACATGATGGATGAAGAACTGGACACAACAGTGGTGAGGAAGTTGAGAACACAGAAGGTGGCTGTGCCTGTGATTGAATGTGCTTGTGGTTTGTTGTGATGGGGCCAGAGGAGAAGAAGTGTCTGCTCCCCACACAGGCGCAGCCAGCCCCACCTGTCTTCCTGGTTCCAGTTCTGCTGGGGAGCTACAAGGCCACACCCCAGTGCACCTCAGCACTTGGCGTGGTTTTGTTTTTGGCTGTGTGAAAGAAGGAAAAACAGAAAGCATGACCCCCTTCTCAAACTGGTTAACTCAAACACTTTGGGATAAACCCTGGACAGCCACACCAGAGAGAGGCCTGAGACTGGCCCCAAAGGTGCAAGCACCAGAGAAAATCAAATGCCTCCTACTTGGCGTCACCTAACCATCCCAGTGTGCTGAGGCCCTCCACCTCCCGTAGTGCCCACACCATAACCACGGGTTTCTCTTCCAACAGCAATACGCATTCTTAGTTTCATTATTTTGTTTTGATTAAAATGACATTATATATAATTTTTATTGGAAAGTTTCTCAGTTGTTTCTAGTTATATAGCACAGTTTAGAAACTTGTCTGAAACTGACTTTATCAGTAATCTAACCAGCAAATATCAAATCCATGTGTACGTTGTTATCAATTTTTATTTTGTTGGACTAACCCAGGACCATTTCAGTGATGCAAATTGTGTGTCCTTTGGTTTAACTGAAACAGTCCTGGGCTTTTCAGAAAGCCTTGATGAAGTCTCCCACAGAGGAATAAAGTGAACATTTTTGGAATTTTAAACTTTCAATGATCCTTTGGTTTCTTTCCTATTTTTATTTTGGTTAATGCAATGACTTAAACAAATGAGCTTTGATCTTTGTTTTAAAGATTATAAAAACAATTGTGTACATATACATATGGCTTTTCAGGACCCATAGCTTTCACTACATTACAGGATATGATCTCCATGTAATACCTGTAAAACTGCAGATTGATTTTCTTCGAGTGCTTTATACAGTTAATTACATCTCCATGTAGGGCTGAAAAGAATGACCTATGTTTATGTATAAAACTCTGTTGCTTTTGATGTTGTGTAATTGTACAGAGATGTGTGCAGTGAGGTTCTGCACTGGTCTAGGTAATAAGCATGGTAGACTTGCAAGTTAATTACTGCTTTGATCCATTGTTTACGCTGGAAATTTTTTCTCTTCATGGAATGTAAGTAAAACTTAATGTATGACACCAATAAATGATAATACTTTAAAAAAAAAAAAAAGGGGGTCAGTAATGGTAGCCAGGCACCATCCAGTTCTTCTGGTCTCATGGCAAAGGAGGCAGTTGTTCATGGAGGCAATTAGCCACACCTTCCATATCCTCCTCCTATTCCTGACTCTCCTTCTTCCTCTGTTGCTCCAGGCGAATAGAGAACAATTGTTGTGCCTTGGATGGCCGCTTACAAGCTTTTAAGACCCCATGCACTACACAGCAAAAAAGGAGATAGAACAAAAGCACTAAACATGTTATTAGGTCAGTTACTGAGATGCCCCATAAAACCATGACCCTAAACCTCCACACCAAGGAACTAGATCCCATGAGGTGTTTGGTTGTACATAAGCAGCCTCAGCAGCTACTCTTTTTTTTTTTTTTTTTTTTTGTCATTGTTTTAAATATATCTATCACACAACTTTTGCCAGTTCTACTCACACATTGTAGTTTGTGGGAACTGCAAATAATACTGTCTGGATCCAGTACAAGTAGAGAAACTGTCAAGAAATAAAGGTGAGAGATAGCCAAAGGCCAGATCCTGGCCTTATCTACTACCCTACAGAATTTTAAGTCTATCCTGAAGGTATTGGGGAATCAGTTGAAGAATTTTAATTTGAGAACTTCATTTTTAAAAGATCATTTGGGCAGTGTGTTTAAGATTGCATTTCTGGAGGCCTTCTGCCTGAATTCTAATTCTAGCTCTTCTATTTACTAAAAATGTGACACCGAAGAAGTTCTGACTCCTTTAGGCTTGAATTCTTATCTGTAACATGGAGAAGGTATTGATACCTATCTCACAGAATTGTCAAATAACATAATAAATTTAAAAAATTTAGCTGTAGACCTGATGTTTATACTAAGTAAATATTAGTTCCTCTTGTTGTTGATAATGATATTATTGTTATTATTATTGACAGTAATTGTACAAGGATTGGAAGAAGGTAAGAATGAAGGAGGGAAGCCAATTCAAGGCCATTCTGATCACTCAGGTGTGAAACAATGACCAAGATGGTAGCAGTAGGAATGCAGAGGAATTTCAAGCTTGAAAACTTTAATTATGAGGAATAAATATGGTTTCATGACTGACTGAAATTGAGGTGGCGGGTGAGGAGGAAAGAGGATTCAAGGATAGTTGTAACTTTCTGACTTGGGTGCTTCCTAGACGGTGGTGCCATTCACAAAGACAGGAAAGGTTGAGAGGGGAAGTAGATTTGGGAGAGAAGTTAAAGTTTCATTTTGGATTTCGGGACTTTCCATTTTATGTCCTCCCCTCTAACACCTTGACTGAGCCCATTGCCTACTGAGTGTTGGGTTCCCTGTCCAGCTGGGGCATGGCCTCTGTAGGACTTTTGTAGGCCAGGCTGGGAGTTCCACTCATTCCAAGCTCAAAAGGAAGCAACGACAGAGCAGGGATTCCAGGTCTCAGATTTTGATGTCTAATTATTGTCATTGTTTTGTCTCCTAGGACTTTTATAGTCACAGCTTCAGAGGTGGGCCTGTGGGTCATTCTATGTCCAGGCCCTTACGTCGGTGGCGACCTAGACCTTGGAGGCTTGCCCAGGTAAGTTGTGCTGTGAGGGTCCTTGGCCATGACCCTACAAGGGCCGCAGTGCATTCAAATGCAAGTTACAACAAAAGGTTTTGCTTTGTTTTCCATGAACATTTTTATCTGCATGATTTTTTCATTTAGTGACATAGAAAATGAACTTTAAAATACTGGGGATTACATAGTATTTATTTTTTATCAAACTCCATTTCTGTAGTGCAAATGAGGTACAGTATATATTGATTATTTAAATACAAGCTAATGGCTACCACTTAAGCAGTATCTCAGTATGTTCTAGTTTTTTGTGGTGGCAGTATAAATAGCAAGAAATTGGATTGATAATCTCTTTTTAAAGAGAGTAAAAAAACAGAACAAAACTTCTAAACAGCTTTATAAAAAATCTCATTCTAGGCTAGAGAGTCAGCAAACTTTTTCTGTAAAGGGTCAGATAGTAAATATTTTAGGTTTTGCAGCCCACATCCAGTCTCTGTCACAGCTCAACCCTGCTGCTGTAGCACAAAAACAGCAGTGACAGTATGTAGACAGATAAGTTGGTTGTCTTCCAGTAGGGCTTTATTTACAAATGTGGGAAGCAGCCTGATTTGGCCTGTAGGCTGTAGTTCGATGATGCCTGCTCTAGATCGTTTTATTGCTTTACAACCTCCATTTCCATCTCAATGAAAGAGGTGATGGATGGCTAAACTGCTAAGCTACTTGTAACTGGACATAGACTTTTTTTAATGTTGAACTAAAACCTCACAATACAAGTCTTGGCGTGACTGTGCAAATTTGGGCGTGCTTGCTCCTCCAGCCTCATGCTTGAACATTTTTTACTGCTGTCTCCCATTCCAAGTCTGAATCTCACCTTTTTCAATCCTAGCTGGTTACTCCGGGATCCCAGAATGAAGCTGAGAACAACTTACAAGGGCTTCACTAAAGCCGTAAATCTTTATTTTGATCAGCTGATTCCCAGGATAGCATCATTACAGGTAAGACCCAATTCTCCATCCAGTAATTGCCTGAATTGATTTCCTGGATAGGGCTAACATAACCAGTTGCCGTCGATTTGATTCTGACTCATGGCCACCCCATGTGTGTCTGAGTAGAACTGTGCTCCGTACGGTTTTTTTTTTTTTTTTAAAGGTAATATTTTACTGTGTTTTCAGTGAAAGTAGGGTCATTATCAGTGGGAATTGACTTGACGGCAATGGATTTGGTTTGGTTTGGTTTTACACTGCAAACTAGGTTCCCATCTAACAATTCTACACAAATTGTTCAGTGACATTGGTTACAAAATTTTCAGTGTGTCAGTATTCTCATTATTTCCTTTATGGTTGTTCTGTTTCCAGTAATCTAGTTTCCATGCCCCCTTGCCTTCTCATCTTTGCTTTAGAGTAAATGTTGACGATTTGGTGTCATATAGATGATTTTTTAAAGGGACACAGTACTTACGGGTGATATTCTTTATTTTATGAGCCAATCTGTTATAAAGGTGACCACAGGGGATTAGCTTCGGTTCAAAGTTTAAAGAGTATCTCAGGGCAATAGTCTCGGAGAGTCCTCTAGTCTCAACTAGCCCAGTAAGTCTGGACTTTTTAAGAATTTGAGTTCTGTTTCACATTTTTCTCCCATTCTACCAGGATCCATCTATTGTGTACCTGATCCAAACGGTCATTAGTAGTAGGTGGGCACCATCTAATTCTTCTGGTCTCGATAGATGAGGTCGTGTAGACTGTTAGTCCTGTAGACTAGTTTTTTTCTTTGAGTCTTTGGTTTCCATCCTTCTCTTTTATTCTGGATGGGTAGAGACCAATAGTTGTATCTTAGATGGCCACTCAGGAGCTCTGGTGGCACAGTGGTTAAGAGCTCAGCTGATAACGGAAAGGTCAGCAGTTCAAATTCATCAGCCATACCACGGGAGAAAGATGTGGCAGTCTGCTTCCATAAAGATTTACAGCCTTGGAAACTCTATGGGGAAGTTCTGTTCTGTCCAACAGGGTCACTATGAGTTGGAATCGACTTGATGGTGATGAGTTAGATGGCCACTTGCAAGCTTTTAAGACCCCAGACACTACTCACCAAACTAGGATGTAGAACATAAACTTTATGAATTATATTATTCATAAAGTTGTCCCACAAGACTGTGACCTAAGACTTCAAACCCTGTAAACCAATCCTGTGAGGTGTTTGGTAAAGTCTAAGAAGTATCCGTAACTGTGCCCTCTATGTGCTTTATTGTATGTGTGAATTCATATGTATGCACATATACATATATCTATATATGCACACATATACATACCTCTACACCTATATGCATACATACATACATATGTAACCACACATATATTTTTTGGTTGTTGTTGCTATTGTTACAAAATTTTATATGTCATTAAAAAACAAACAAAATAAAGTGTTGCCGTTGAGTCGATTCCGACTCATAACGACCCTATACAACAGAGTAGAACTGCTCCATGGGGTTTCCAAGGAGTGGCTGGTGGATTCGAACTGCCAGTGTTTTGGTTAGCAGCTGAATGCTTAACCACTGTGTCACCAGGGCTTCATATATTACTATAGAGTAGTAAAAATAATGAACTTAATGATCAGCTTAATGTTGAACAATAGAGTCTCAGAAGAATACACATTGTCTTGCTTTTGTGCCTTACCCCATCTACTGGCCCAACTGACCAAAGCTCCTGTACTCAGATCTGCCATTTTCCTGGCAGTGCGCTTGGAGCTACATCCTGTACTTTTTTGTTTTGTCTGATCCTTTGTTTATTTGTTCAATTGTTGTTGTTAGGTGCCATAGAGACGGCTCTGACTCATAATGACTCCATGTACAATAGAATGTACTGTCCTGTGCCATCCTCACAATCATTGCTGTGTTTGAGCCCATTGTTGCAGCCACTGTGTCAGTCCATCTCATTGAGGGTCTTCCTCTTTTTTGCTGACCCTCTACTTTACCAAGCATAATGTCCTTCCCCAGGGGCTGGTCTCTCCTGATAACATGTCTAAAGTACGTGTGACGAAGTTTTGCCATCTTCACTTCTAAGGAGCATTCTGGCTGTACTTCAGACAGATTTGTTTATTCTTCTGAAAGTACATGGTATATTCAGTATTCTTCACCAACACCATAATTAAAAGGCATCAATTCACCATAAATGAAAAATAATGATTATCATCAAAATGTCTTCATTTATCCACTAATGATAACTACAGGTCTGTCCTTCACCAATAGTAGTTTATATGGATGACCTTAGGTTAGTGATTTTGTAGAAATTACCATTTATTTGATTTTTAATATACCTTTCTTGCAATAAAATCATGATGTACATACTTAAGTAGAAATAGTATGCCACTATATTTCTAAAATGACTGGAAAATATAAAAAGAGCTATATAGTTGGTAGAAAATGAGCAGAGGGAAGGGACAAATATATATCATCTGTTAGCTCTCAAACTTTGTGCTTTGCAATTAACATTTACCTAGTATATTTCCTCCTCAGAGTGATCATTTGAAGTAAATATTATTGTGGATTGAATGGAGGTAATGACAACGTTTGTATATGGCCAGGAGAAGATTTCACAAGGTGTGAATTTATTAGGGACACAGTGAGTTTCTAACATTATGAGTATCCCAGGCTTAATCAGACTTAGGGAAGCTATTAAAACTGCTAGTAACAGAAGTCCATGAATCAGTTTGGGACAGTAGAATAGTCTTTTGGGGATAGTAGAGATAGAGATAGTAGAGAGAATCCCAAGTGCCCATCAACAGATGAATGGACAAATAAACTATGGTACACACACACAATGGAATACTGCACGCATTGATAAAGAACAATGATGAATCTGTGAAACATCCCACAACGTGGGTGAATATGGAGGGCATTAAGCTGAGTGAAATAAGTCAATCACAAAAGGACAAATACTGTATGAGAACACTACTGTAAAAATTCATGAAAAAGCTTACACTTAAGAAACAATCTTTAATGGTTAAGAGGGAGGGAAGGGGTGGAAGGGAAAAACACTAACTAGACAATAGATAAGTGGTAACTTTGGTGAAGGGCAAGACAATCCATAATACTGGGGAAGTCAGCACAGCTTGACCAAGGCAAAGTCATAAAAGCTTCATAGACACATCCAGACTCCCTGAGGGACCGAGTTACTGGGCTGAGGGCTGGGGACCATCATCTTGGGGGACGTCTAGCTCAATTGGAATAACATAGTTTATGAAGAAAATGTTCTACATCCTACTTCGGTGAGTAGCGTTTGGGGTCTTAAAAGCTTGTGAGTGGTCATCTAAGATATGTCTACTGGTCCCACCCCACTGGAGCAATGGAGAATGAAGAAAACCAAAGACACAAGGGAAAGATTAGTCCAAAGGACTAATGGACCACAACTACCACAGCCTCCACCAGACTGCGTCCAGCACAACTAGATGGTGCCCATTTACCACCACCGACTGCTCTGAGAGGGATCATAATAGAGGGT